GACAGGTCATAACTCTCGTACGTGCCAAAAGGATGTAGAAGAAGATTCTTTATCAGATACAAGTGAGTCGTACGACGCATCTATAGCTAGTGTAGTTACCGGAAGACTAAGATTTGTAATTACAGATATGACTGGGGTTCTAGTTCGGCCGAGCTACTGTACCTTGCACTTAATAAGATCCAAAACTCTGAGGCTAAACATATATATTAGCTCGATTCTGACATTTAGCGCTCTATTTCAAACACATTCTCTTGAACTGACCCGCTGGAGGTTGTCTCGGTACAATTCACAAAAAGACTTAACAACTCCTTTTTAGCATTCACCCTTTTCTTGAACCTACTATCTGATCAGCTCCATGATAATGAAAAAGAAGAGTGGAAACGGGGCATGTGTAAAAGAGAAAATATCGCATTGGCATTTGCTTCTTGATCAGGGTGTTGTTATAAAAGAAATCGCTAGATGGGATTATGAGGGTTCAGGCACAACGGACAATCCCTACATTGTTGAATGGATAAAGAATGACCCTCGAAATCCTATGGAATGGTCTGGCCTGAGAAAGTGGATCTATTGCACAATAATGGGAATTGCAACTCTTGCTATCTCACTTTCTTCTTCGGCGTATGGCGGAGGTGAGAAACCCTCGAGGGCTGTTTGCTATAAGACTGACATTAGCACGGCAGGTATTGAGCAAATCCAACGGGACTTCCATGTCAGCAACGAAGTCGCCACACTTGGAGTATCCATGTTCGTCTTGGGATTTGCCCTTGGGCCTCTACTATGGGCGCCGTTCTCTGAGATGTACGGTCGACAGGTTGTTTTTGTTTCCACATTTTTGGCTTTTGTAGCTTTTACTGCAGGTGCAGCTGGATCGCAAAATATCTGGACCCTTATTGTGCACAGATTCCTTGCAAGCGCATTCGGATCTAGCTCGCTCACAAACGCCGGTGGTGTTATTGCAGATATGTTTGCACCAAAGCAGCGTGGTCTGGCTATGGCAGTGTTTACCGCAGCCCCAACTCTTGGACCAGTTATTGGCCCTATCGCTGGGGGTTTTCTAGGGATGAAAGAAGGATGGAGATGGATTGAAGGGTTCCTGGCTATCTTATCAGGCGTATTATTTATCCTCTCGATTGTTGTTGTGCCAGAGACATACGCACCGACACTTCTCCGTAAAAGAGCAAGAACCTTGTCACGAACAACGGGAAAGGTGTATCTATCGAAAATTGCGATAAATCGAGGGAAACGTTCGCTGATTGGCGCGCTCCGTATGGGATTGAGAAGGCCATGGGTTCTGCTGCTTCGTGAGCCAATCGTACTCCTTTTATCCCTTTACATGTAAGCTTTTGAGCAACTTCCTAACCATCACACTAACAAGCAACAGGGCAGTTATATATGGAACACTTTTTATGTTTTTTAGTGCTTACCCTATTGTTTATCATGTTCACCGGGGATGGAACCAAGGAATCGCCAATCTTCCTTTTATTAGCGTCGCTATTGGTTTAATCAGCGCAACCTTTTATGCTAACTATGCTCTACGAAAACCGTCGATATATTCAGTGTGCAAAACGATCTCCGTCGGGGTTTGCAACGCCTGAAGATAGATTGCATTCCTCGATTATTGCGGGTGTAGCTCTTCCAGTCGGCCTCTTTTGGTTTGCATGGACAAATTCCCCATCGTTACCTTGGGCGGCAAGTGCGGCGGCTGGAATTCCCTTCGGTTTTGGTATCTTAACTGTGCTTCTAGGCATCACAAACTACCTAGTGGACGCCTATACAATATATGCAGCTTCGGTCTTAGCAGCTAATAATTCTCTTCGTTGTGTTTTCGGCGCAGCGTTCCCACTTTTTACATCACAGATGTATTCTAGGCTAGGTGAGACAACGCTTCATTTATTCCCTTTGAAGACTAACGCCGATAGGAATTCATTGGGCTTCTGCCCTCCCTGGTTTTCTTACTGTGGCGTGCTTCCCGTTGATCGTTACTTTGTATCGATATGGGGCTATTATTCGCAAAAGATGCAAATATGCGGCTGAAGCACAAGCATACTGGGAGGAAATTCATGAGCAAAAGCTTCAAAGAACCCAAGAGTCATCAAACACGGTATTAGCCGGTAGTTACAAGTAACAGAACAAAGGATTTCCACCCTCGGCCTGACCAGGAGTGGTCGCAAACTCGTGCAGGGATGTCAACAGGTAGTAATGCGCTTACTATGGGGCTTGGGTCACGTGATTACTATCACACCAAGACCGTGTCATCAGTGATGGCAACCCCAGTATGTGATGACAGACCATCACGGGAGAGCCTCGCCATCAGTGATGGCAGAACGGAACATTGATGGTAGGCCCAGAAGCAATGAGGATATAAGGATGGATGGATTTCATTATTTACTCTCGTTGTGATCAACTCAAATTGTACTTTCTTACTAGTTAGTTACTTTACCTCAGTAGACTCTAAAGTTTGCCCATGTAACTATAGAGCTACTCAAGATACTTCGCATATTCTACTCAGCTGCACGCTATACAAAGAAGCTAGAAAGA